GATGGAGGGAGAGACTTACCAGACACAAAGCCAAGGAACTCCTAGAGCCACCAAAGCTAGAAGAAGCAAGGAATGAGTTTCTTCTAGAAAGTTTGGAATGAGTCTTTTCTAAAGAGTTTGTTGACACCTTGATTTGGGACTTATGGTTTTCAGAACATTACATCTCAAGGACCTAGATAAAAAACAAACCAACACCAAAATTTGTAGAAAACAGAAATAATTAAAAATCAGAGCCAAATCAATGAAATTAAAATTTTAAATATTTCAAAAAATAAACAAAAAGTTGGTTCTTTGAAAAAATAAACAAAATAGATAAACCCTAGCCTAGCTAAACAAAAAAAGAGAAAAAACCTCAAATTATTAAAATTTTTGATAAAAAAAGAAAATATCACCTCAGATACTACTGAAATACAGAGGATAAAGAGAAACTTTTGAAAATTTATACTCTAATAAAATAGAAAATCTTGAAGACATTGACAAATGTTTAGAGACATATGACCTACACAAATTGAAACAGGAAGACATAGAAAATTCAAAGAGATCAATTTCAAGTAATGAATTTGAATGTCATCAAAAGCCTAACAACAAAGTAAAGCCCAGGACCAGATGGATTCTCAGCTGAGTTCCACCAGACCTTTAAAGAAGAACTAACACCAATCCTCCTCAAATTATTCCATGAAATAGAAAAGTAGGTAACCCTTCCAAACTCACTCCATGAAGCTAGTATTATCCTGATACTGAAATCAGACACAGATACACACAAGGAAAGAAAACTCCAGACATAAATACTGTTATCTAGACATACACACCGAAAACATACATTGCAGAAATGATAGCCTCTTCAATAAATGGTGCTTGGAAAACTGGAAATCAGTAGTAGAATGAAATTTAACCCCTATCTCTCACCCTGCATAAATTCAACTCAAAGTAGATAAAATACCAAGGAACTGGGATAGAAACCCTGCATCTACTAAGAAAATGAAGGACTAACACTTCAACATGTCAGCTGAGAAATGAACTTCCTCAACAACATTCCTAATGCAGAAGAAGTAAAATCAAAAATCAATAAATGAAATGGTACAAAATTAAAAAGGTTCTTCACAGCAAAGGACATAATTAAGAGCATGAAGAGAGAGCTATAACACTCAAATAAGGCATTAAATTTCCAGGATATAAAAAGAACTCAAGAAACTTAACACCAAAAAAAAAAAAATAACCCAATCAATAAGTGGGCAAAGGAACTAAATAGACACTTCTCAAAAGAAGAAATATATGAAAAATATTCAACGTCTGTAGCAGTTAGAGAAAATCAAATTAAAACTACACTGAAATTTTACTTCACTCCAACTAGAATGGCAATTATTAAGAATACAAGTAACAATAAATGATGGCAAGGAGGTGGGGAAAGGATACACTCACACATTGTTGGTTGGATTTCAAGTTACTGCAAGTACTCCAGAAAGCAGTATGAAGACTCCTCAGAAAATTTAGAATGGAACCACCATTTGACCCAGTTATCCCACTCCTTGGTTTATATCCAAAGGAGTTAAAATTGGCATACTGGGCTGGGGATGTGGCTCAAGCGGTAGCGCGCTCACCTGCCATGTGTGCGGCCCGGGTTCGATCCTCAGCACCACATACCAACAAAAGATGTTGTGTCCACCGAGAACTAAAAAATAAATATTAAAAAAAATTCTCTCTCTCCTCTCTCATTCTCTCTTTAAAAAAAAAAAAATTAGCATACTACAGTGATGCATCCTCAATGTTTATAGCAGCACAATTCACAGAACCCCACCTTGATGCCCATCAAAAGATGAATGGATAAATAAATTGTGGTACGTATACACTGTAGATTATTTCTTGGCTATAAAGGAGAATGAATTTATGACATTCACCAGTAAATGGATGGATCTATCACTATCATGCTAAATGAAATAAGCCAATCCCAAAAACAAGGGTCGAATGTTCTCTCTCATGTGTGGATGCTCATCCACAACAAGCAGGGATAGGGGTAGGGGGGCGTGGTTAAACATAGAAGTTCAATGGATTGGGCAAAGGGGAATGAAGGGAAGGGAGAAGGAATAGGAATAGGAAAGACAGTGAAAGAATCTGAAATTACTTTCCTATGTACACATATGAACAAACCACAGCCAATCTCAACATCATGCACATCCACAAGACTGGGATTCTAATTAAAATAAGATATATCCCATGCTTGTGTAAATATATCAAAATATATTCTACTGTCATGTGTAACTAAAAAGAAAAAATCGGGCTGGGGATGTGGCTCAAGTGGTAGCGTGCTCGCCTGGCATGCGTGTGGCCTGGGTTCGATCCTCAGCACCACATACCAACAAAGATGTTGTGTCTGCCGAGAACTAAAAAATAAATATTAAAAAATTCTCTCTCTCTCTCTCTCTCTCTCTCCTCTCTCACTCCCTCTTTATAAAAGAAAAAATTTTTAAAAGAATAGTTTTTTATTGCTTTTAACCCATTAAATTTGTGGCAATTTATTAAGGCAGCCATAGGAAACTAGTACAGTGATAGAGGAAGCAAGGACATCAAGTCAGAATGAGAATGGGAGAATAAGTAAAGGAATTTAAGACAAGACCAGAGGTGAGAAATTGTTGCCCAAGAGGGTGGGAAAATAAATAGGCCAAAAAGTATAAAATGACTTTCTAGAGCATTAGGAATCCTTTGGGATCATGTCCAGGAATTTAAAATTAAATCAGTCAACTTGTATGTTTTTCTCCATCTCTGTGTGTCTGCACAAGAGCATAGGTGAAGAATCACAGAAATTTGAATATACCTAGTTATCTTTTTATCAAAAGAGTATGAAGTAAAGAGAAATAAAGGAGTTGATGACACATTTAAGGAAATGCGTTTAATGATTGTCCTTTTTAAGCTGCTCTAATATCCAAGTACATCTTAGGAACATCCATAGCAACCAAGCAAATATCTGTTTAATGAGTTACCAAGCACTGTGATGTTTAGCATACTAAGCTGCTCTGAAATCCCATAACACAATACAGTGTAAGCTACTACATGCATTGACCCCTAAGCTATGTGATATTATTCACCTCTTCACTTTTCAACATGATAACACTTGTTTGTCACCTGGTATCAATTTTGTAGTGTCACTCTGCAAGAGAGAACAGTAACATTAACTAAAGAAAAATCTCAGAGAAATATCTTACATCTCTCTCAAGGGAGGTATGTTTTTATTGCCTCATCATGTAATGCTTATGCTCTGTAAGTTTTCATCATAATGTCACATTAATTTGAGACAATAGCAAAGCAGCAGTACGCATATTTCAGTTACTTTGAAAATTTTAAAAACTCCCAAACTTAAGAATTTCTTCAATTAATTTCAAATAGAAATAAAGACTTAGTCAAAAATGGCTCTGAAAATTTATAGATGTTACGAATTTATGTGATCTATTGAAGTAGATGCCTAAAGTGAAGCAAAAATTAAGTTCATCTATACTAAAAATGTGATAGTTGACAATCACATTTTCCTATTTGTTCCTAACACATCAGAGAAATTAGCTAGGACATTGTAGTTGTTTGAAACGATAAAATATAAAAGGTAGATTAGAATAGTGACTAAGGGCTGCTGGTCACCACCTTCAACTCCAAGGGTAGCTACTCAATTCTGGAATATAAACTAATATTGAGCCATCTAATTTTCTAATCTTCAGTAATCAATAACCTAGGGAACTATGAGCCAGATGACATGAGGGCCAAGTTTTTTCTCTCTTAAACATATACAAACAAACTGAAGTTTTAATAATAATGGACAATATTTCTGCAGTGCCTCCATCACACAAGGTACTATTCTGAGTATTTTAAATTTATTAACTCACTCACATTTCTCCATTTGCTAATATTATTTTACCGACCTAGAAGCTGCAAAGATTTGAACCCTGGCAATCTAATTCTAGAGTCTCTGCATTTGAATTACTATGTTGTACCTAGATTATTGCAAATGGACTTTACCAAAGTGTTAAAAGCAATGACAGCTGAAAACCTTCATTTAGAGTACTGGCTCTCTTTAAATGGGTAACATTTTGTTGTCAGCCAAAGCTACACATTAAATATTTTCATAGTTCAAGTAGTTGACTAAAAGAATAAAGTTGATCTAGATCATCTCCCAAAATAGAAAGATCCTCAAAATATTAAGTGAAGAAAAACCACATTGTACAAGAATATATATAATATACTTTTTAATTAAGATTTTTAATTTAACATGCTCTTTCTGAGGATGTGTGTACATTTGTGTATGTATATGTATAAATGCTTAGGATGTTCTATGGAAAGATAGACCCCAATAACACCAATTGTTTCTGAAAAGAAGGAAAGGGACCAAGATCAGGACACAAACAGGGCTTCAGTCTCATTTCTAAGGTTTAAAACTCACAAAGATCATGTACACGTGTGTTCTTTGTCTAATTTAAGGTATTTGCTTCTTCTCTTTCAATTTTATTCATTCTGATAAAACTTTTTAAAATACATTTATTACATTAAATCATTTTGGGAAAAATCTGGTTTGATATTCATTTATTTGTTCTCTCAGAAGTAAATATTATTATAAGAACTTAGTACATATTAATAAATTTACTGTGTCCCTGTGAAACATGGAGATACTTGTTCAATAATTTATGAATTATTTGTTGAGTTATATAATAAATGTGGATTTTAAGAACATTTGATTGTTTTTATTGAGTTTTTGTGAAGTCTTCTTCAAGATATTTGTAAGCCTACCAATAATCTTCTTTAAACTCTTAATTCAGTGCATACCTAAGATATTTATCATTCAATCTTCACAACCAGTTTATTCTTTTTTAACAAAATTCGTCAATACCAAAAAAAAAAATCATGAAGAAGAAGAAAGAAAACCTATTTCTTTCTTGTTGAGACTATGTTTTCTCTGTTTTCTTCAAGCTGTTCTTTGGGCTGAGGCATCTCTGTTCAAACTTGTCAAACTAGTTTCATTTCAACTTCTTGTAATTTGTTTCCTTATTTCTTTGAGCCGTAGACCTCTAACATATCTAGAAATGTCATAGAGTTGATTAGATAGTCCAGTTCAGTGTGTGCAGACGTACAAGATCATACTCCTTCTGGTGATGATGTATCGGTAAGTTAGTTTTGTTTTGTAAACGGTCATTGCTATTTTGTCTGTCAACAGCTAGATTCCCATGTCAGAGGGCTGCTGGTAAGATATCCTTAATGGATTCAACCAGCATTGGAGCCTGTGATATTTCTGGACTTTTCATAGCTGTCTGTATTAATTAACTTCTGTGTTTAAAAACAATGTTTTTATGTGAAAAATCATCAGAATTACTTCACATTGTCAAGTTCAATAGTGGGATTTTAGAAGAAGTTAACAAAAAACTGTATTACACTGTGTCCTGATTCATTCTGAATTGGGAGGGAGGGTTCATTTGTTTTAAGAAAACCCTTCCTTGAGCCATCTGACAAAATTTTACTTCTCTACTACTTTCTCTTTAGCCCTTTTTCCTTGTACTTTACGGTAGTCCTGTGGATTGGGAAGTTGATAGCTTCAGAGATACTTGTCTCCTAGTTTTTTTTAAAGCTATGGCAGTAATAAAATTTTAGTGCTGTTTAGATTTATGCTATTTTAAAAACATTTTTGTATATGTTATTTCATTTATAAGCTAAGACAGTCTTGTGAGCTCAGTAGAATAGGTATCATTAATGCCCATTTTTAAGGATGGCATCTTAGTGAAACAGAGGTTACGAGATATCTCCAGATCTACAGAGCTGTCAGATTCCAGAATCAAAGGTGTATTTCTCAGAGCCCTCAACATCTTAGAGTTCAGTTTTCCTTAGTAACTACTGCCTCATTAGCTGGCAAGAATAACACTGAGAAATTCAGAGATGACAATTTAATACTAGATTGGCCACTAACTTGGTGAGCTTCCCTGGGCTTCTTTTTACACTCATAAAATACATACTTATATCAGTCCTTTAAGAGCACATAGTACCTGCCTCTGAGACTCTTAGAAAGAATCTTTAATGTTTCACACATAATCAATACTCTATATTTATTGAACAAATAAATAAACAAACAAATGTAAATATCTAGCATAGATGTTTTGCTTATTTATTAAAACTCACTGAATTTGAAAATTCATACGCCATGTTTATGGAAATCATGATACTATAAAATGGAATCTCCAACTTCTCATATTTCACATTCCCCAAATTATTTATTTAAATATCAAGTTTCATTATTATAGGCATAAAAAGCATTTTTTTTTCTAATGAACATATGTATTTATAGGAATGTTTGCAGTTTAATGGAAGCAAATTACAGGCATAATGATGGTTGTTGGTTTGTGTCATTGTTCTGGATATTCGTGATACATGTTAATAAAGAAAAGAGACAATGGGAAACACTAAATGATCATATTTTCTTTAAGCCTAATTCATGGTATAATATTTCAGAATTTGGAAGGTTTACAGGAGAAAGAAGATCACACTAATAGGCATAGGATTGGAGAAAAGGAAATGCTCAATATTAACATCCTAAGTCATCTCACACTCATTTCACCTACACTCATTCAAAAATATATTTATATTCATGCTAAACATTCTTATTTCTCCATTAATAGGAAAACAACATATAGAAACATATAAAAATATATTTGATTCATACTCTTCTTGTTTCTGCTATTATGACATTGAATTTCTCCTTTATAGGTTTTGTGACCCTCTTCTTTGTATGGCAGATTAATTTTAGTGTAACAACTTTTTGGAACTCTATTTGCATTTGCCTGTAGAAATAGCCACATTCCTACTCTCTCAGATATTCTTTAATAGTGCTTCACTCACTTTAAAACCTTGATTTTAAAATATCCCTAAAAACATAAATCTTTTTAATAACAGATAAAATCTCCCTATAAAAGATAAAATACCAAGTGAATTCTTTATTCAAGATTTTTATCCTAACCTCAGGAGCCTAATGTCTTTCCCTTCTTATAACTCTTTATTTTGGGCATTGATTATTAATAAATGTAAAAATTTATTCCTCCTCTTCATTATCATCTTTAGAGAAAAATGTAGTCAAATCTTTTGTAAGAATTCATGTTTTACATTTAATTTTGTTTTGGGTAATTGCTTCAGTTAACTTGTGAATTTGTCAAGATTATTCCCTAAAATATTCTAAAGCTAAATTTTTAGAATTAAAATCAAAATAGCAAAGTAAAGTCTCCATATTAATTATTGACTGTTAAACATGGTAAAAAATTTCAATTGAAATTTTGTATTATTTTTTAACAAAGTCATAATGCTTTATGTGCCACATTCACATTACATTAGCTCATTTAATTCTCCCAGAAATTCTTTGACTTTGCTACTACTATTGACTCCATTTTACAGAGGAAGAAAGTAACTAGCCCAACATCCTAAGCTAATGGGTAGAACAGCTAGAATTTGAACTTGAAGTGGAGCCAGAGCCTGGAATTAACTAACAGGCTGCTTTTTCTTCTTTTGGATGATTTTTGAGAGAAAAAAAATTGTTTTTAATTTAAAATTTGAATATAACATTCACAGAACTTGTCATTCAGTAGGATTCTAACTGTGGTTGATAGTGTGAAATATGTGTACATCTCATTGATATTTGAAGGATGATTTATAATATTCTCTTCTTGGTTGTGCTTTCCTTTTCTAATTGGTATATAGGAAATAATTTTGGTAGGATGGCAGACATTTGTATATGTTATTTGGAAACTAAGATTTTAGGAATTTATGATCAGATAATTTTATAATTCCAGAGAGGTTGGCATGTATTTGTAATGATTATAATACAACTAACTCATTATCTACTTAGTAAATATGAAACATTTTGCATGTATAATTTCATTTATTTTTTACAATTCTGATATAAGTTAGGTCTGAGATTAACCTATTTTACAGGGGGGAAAGTAGTTACCCCAGATCACAGTTACAGAATTTTAAAATGAAGCTATCTACAACTTTCTATCCTCTCCATATTCACACATATGTCTCTGAAATATCTTGAGCATCGACAAGGAATTGATAATATAAAACACAATGACAAGAGTTGGTTAAAAACAATAACATAAACAACATTTTTGAATAGCATTTTACTGAACGCTTTCACGTTCATTATCAGAGTGGTCTGGTTACAAACATATAGCTTTAAAGACAGACATGGTTTCCCTTAGCTCTGTGACTTGTGTTGCCTTTCTTTATTGGTGAAGTGGTAACAATAATGCCTAACTCACCAATATGTAGCATAATGACATGACATCATCTACAAGAAAATTCCATAGACGCAGAGTAGGACTTGCTATTTGTTAGAGCCCCTTATTTACTTACTTCATGATTTCACACCTCCAAGTAGTATTTATTATCACCATTTTACAGGGGAGCGCAGAGAGGTTTGGGAAACTTCTCAAAATATAAAATCCAAAATGCAAATGGTAACAAAATTACCTACAATATATATTCTTGTACTAAAGTGCTCATATTCTCAAAATGACTGACTTCTATTGAGTAAGAATAATGACAAAAAAAGATTGGTAATAGCTTACATTTACAAAATATAATATTATAGGGCTGGGGCTGTATGTCAGTGGTAAAGCACCAGCCTCACATTTGTGAGGCACTGGGTTCAATTCTCGGAACCACATAAAAATAAAGATACTGTGTGTTTATTCATATTTGTTTACATAATGAAAATTTGTTATTCATGCTATTTTAAATATTTGTAGAGAAGTTTTCAATAGTTCCTTATTTCCTATCATTTCCCATAGCACAGATTGAAGGAAAAGTATTAAAGATTGTAATATGAGTTACAGGAAGATAGAAACTATGTCTTGTTTGTTCCTACTTCAGTAAGTCCAGCATGATGCCCAAAAACATAACAGCAGCTGAGAAAAATACAATGAATTCAACAATATTTTTTTAAAACCTTAGCAGACATAAACTAGCACAATAGAACTCCATTTTTCTGTTATCTCAAAGTGAGAGTTAAGTGCCAATTTTATCTTAGGATAAATCTGGAAAAGACCCTTTTACTGGATAATGACAGAAAGATTCCAAAAGGGTAAGAATCTGAAGTTAATACCACTGATGAATGAACAAATAAAAGGGCAAACAAAGGAGAAATGAGATAATACCTGATAGCTTCTTGGAAGTAATTTGTTAGGACATATTTACATTGTACAAGGCTCTGACAGAGATTTGAATATGAGTAATTCATTTTGCATACATGCATATCATCCCAGCCTGATTTTTAATCTCTAATCCTTACAAATTTTACCAAAAGTGTATTAAGGCTAAGAACATGCATGTGTGTGTACATGCACACACATACATTACATACTACCTATCTTTTTAGTTGTAGAATATTCCATGATGAAGTTTTGTTCAACTCTTATTTGCTCAAACCTTTATTCCTTTGTTGTACTTGTTCAAAAGTATCTTCATTTTATTGTGTCATGGTGGGTCACAGTAAAACACATTTTTTGGTGATTAATGGTATATTAAAAATAACCTGAATACTTTCTGATATCTGTCTAAGCTCATATCTGTTGGGCTTTAAAATCCCAAAATGCAACTGGTAACAAAATTACCTACAATATATATTCTCTAATACTAAAGTGCTCATATTCTCAACATGATTGATTTCTATTGAGTAAGAATAATGACAAAAAAAGATTAATAATAGCTTACATTTTCAAATTATTTACTATGGGCTCGTCACTTTATATGTATTAATGCATTTAATCCTATGAAGTAAATATTAATTTAATTTCCATTTTACAAATAGGGGAATTAACACAGAGAAAGGCCAAATACTCTGCCTAACATTGCAGAGCTAGCAAGTGGCAAAGCTGGGATTTGACTCAATAACTTCAGAGATTGGGCTCTTATAGTAATGCTATACATTCTCAGGAGTCAGTTCAAACATTTTGCATGAATTTAAACTACATGTGATTATGTTTTATCATGAAACAAAAATCTAAATTCAACAATATTTTTTAAAAACAGACATAAACTAGCACAATAGAACTCCATTTTGCTGTTACCTCAAAGGATAAATCTGGAAAAGACCCTTTACTAATAAAGACAGAAAGTTTCCAA